ATTAAATATGTATGTAAATAATGAATGGGAATTGTATTGAAATTAACAAATATTATATTCAATGTATACTATTAATTTATTATTATTATTATTTTTAAACTAAAGGAAACTTGATAGAAAGGTTTTCATCTATACCAATATATATGCATATATTCTATACTTAAGCTGTTCTAATAAGCTGAATACAAAAGCTTTATCTACCTCCACTCCACGCCACTCTCTCTGTTTCTCTCTTTCGCTTGCTATTTCCACTCACCTCAGCCCAGGCGACTGACTCACGCTACCATCTCTAGCTGATGCTTAAGCCGTTCTCTTGCTGCGCATCTTTCAGTGAGATTTTTGCCCCCAATCGAAATGCTCTTTGGTGTTTTGTGTAATTAATTAGGCAAATTTATATATTGTATACAAATACAGCCAAATAAAAGATATAGATATATGTGTGTGTGTGTGTGTTTGCGTCGAGGCGGTACGATGTTTTTGATGTGGCTTACAGCTAAATGAAGATTACGTTGTCATTGTCAAAGCAACTGCACTTAATTAAGCCAACTTAAGGCAGACAATCAAAGCGCAGAAAGCACCAAAATTGCAGCACAGACAGACTAAGAGAGAGAGGGGATGTGAGAGGTAGAGAGAGACAGAGATACAGCTCGGTAGAGGACACATAATTGATAGGATCCCAGCGAGCGGAGGCAGACAAACAAATCAAAAGCCACAAAAGCTTCCTACCAGCTGGACAGACACTGGCAAAGGAGACACAGTTGGATGAGGAGGAGCAGGAGGAGTGGGTTGAGGAGGAGGGAAAGAGTGCGGTCATCCCTGCCCACGCAGCGCTCAAAACAATGGCCAGCGAATGTTGCCTAATCAGTGAAAGGGTAGCAGAGCAGAGCAGACCAGAGCATAGAGAGAGAGAGAGAGAGAGAGAGAGGGAGAGAGGAAGGGCTGCCTGGCTGACTGCCTGCAGGCTGAGCGCTCGTTACGTATCTACAAAATTGATGAGTCTGTCAAAATGTGAATGCGAGAAATCGAAAAGAACGAAAAACGAAGCGAAAATCGACAAACGATGCACAGATACAGCTGCGGCACGTGTTTGCCCAGCGCTGTCATCATTAATTTTTTAAAGCGGCCAGGTAGAAAATAAAAAATAAAAAAAATCACAACAACAAAAAAACAAGCTAAAACAACTTGGCGTTTATTCCTGGAAAAATGACAAATTTTCGTAGAAGTCACGCGGCCCTTGTGGGAGTCGTCTCCAACTACTGAATCCGACTCCGACTGCGACTGCGACTCGATTTTTATGGCCATGTGAAATTCCTAGTTTCGGCGGCACTTGCTTTTCAACTGTCAGTGGCTGCGCTTTGTATGGCCATTCAAGCAGCCATAAATCAAACAAATCAACACAGAATATATACACAAATATGAATATAAACATATATACATACTCATGCATATACATACATATATGCATAAGGCAGCTCTGAAACAGTAGTTGATTTGGAAATCGCGCGCATATCCGTAAGAGAGCTTCCATAATTTGGTGTCTGGCTGAGTCTTTGGCTTACACTCGCGTCTATCTTATCGATGCTTTGCATTTTGCATGTCGACAACAACACGAAATGATGCAGCCAGCAGCAGCGACCGCAGCAGCAGCAGCAGCAGCGGCGGCGGCAGCAGGAGTTGCTGTCAGAGGTGCTCCTCCAGGCAGGCAGCCATTGCCATTGCAACGAAAACTGGTTGCAGCAAACACAATTTTTGTGCCCAAGTTCGATTTGTGGCTCCTTTGAAAGATTGCCGACAACTGATAAGCAGCTGCTGCTGCCGCGGCTACTCCTGCTGCTGCTGCTTAGAGCTTCGCTTTGCCATGGATGCTGGGCTTTCGTTATTTGCCTTTGATATGTTTATTGGCCTGGCCCACAAACAGCCGCCAGCCGAGACAGTTCCTCAAATGCTCATAGAGTGGACTCTAAGCCAAGCTATCCATCAAGCTGTAGCAAGCTACAGCCTCAACAAAACTTCAGCTCCAGCACCAGCTCCAGCTCCAGCTCCGTCCTCTTCTCCAGCTGTACACGAGCGAAACGCGTGTAATTAGATAAAAACGCTTAAACGCGCAAGATACTCCAGCCAGATACGTATTGCTCAGCTCTTTGCTGTAAAGCACGCAAATTGGCGAGTTTTACTTTATTTTATTTGTCAGCTTTAGCTTCGTCTTGTAGATTTCTTTACATTTTATCTAGAAACAAGCTGCGATTCGGAGGCGAGGCGAGGCTTTGCATACACCATGGAAACTTAATGTGAACTGTGATTTTAAATAAATCGAAGAACAAAGCGAGAATATTTAATTCAAATCAAACAGATTTATTTATATTATATTATAAAAACTAAAAAATAAAAATAAATAAATAAATACGAAATATATTATTATCTTTAAAAAATAAAAATAAAATTACTCATAGTAAATTGTTATAGTATTTGATTTTTTTTTTCGTTAATGCATTTGTGTTTATTAAAAATAATTATGTTTTAAAAATTTCATAGATATAAGCTCGCCTTAAAAAAAATAAAACCTAATTATATTCATATAAGGAACATTAGATTAGACTCTGAATCTCTTCCATATACAATACCTGCTCACAAATTGAATCACTCATTCGTCATAGACTTTTTCGCTTAGTGTATTCATATCAAATGGTGCTAGAAGGAAAGGTTCAAGAACAGGCAGCAGCCAAAAGGTGCGGCCATTAAAAATTTAAGCACTGCCAAATAAAACTCGAAGTTGAAGCCAAGATCATACTCGTAGCAACGGCAGCAAATTCAACGACTACAACAACAACAACAACAACACTATTTGAACGTTGTCTGTTTTTGTAGCTGCTGCGCGTTGTCAGTTGTTTAATTGAAAAATTTATAGCCGAAATGAAAGAAAAATGAATTTACATACATATATCTATACATATATAATATATAAGTAAATACAACAGCAAAATGGAATGACATGCAAAAATGACACGCAGCGTGCAAATGCGGCAAAATGTTGAAAATGTTGCAAATGCTGCGAAACGTTGCTCGTTAAAAGTGAAAAAGCCGCAGCAGCCGCATGTGCTGCCACACCTCCGCAGCACCTCGCCTCACCTCGGCTCACCTGAGTTCAGCTAGCCTAGCCGCAGCTGAAAATTCCTAGACGACAAACACGAGACTAAAAATTGCATTTGTCCCCTCGCTCTAGCCCCGTTCCTCCCCCCTCCCACTCACCATCATCCTCTACCTCCTCTAGCACTCTTGTGCAACCCCAAAGTGTGCCGCAAAAAGCGCCGAAAAACGAAAAATCGAGCAGACCACGGCGCGCCAAATGCCAAAGCCAGCCCCAGCCCCAGCGCCCAGCCCAGCCCAGTCGCTAGTCCCAGCCACCAGCAACCCTCAAAAAGGCGCACACACACACTCACACACATTTTCGAGGGGGCGGTTTGGGCAACATGCAAAAGATACGCCACAAAAGCGGAAAGACCCCCAACAAAACCCCCAAACCAACAACAACAAAAAATGATACAAGCGCAGGAGTTGCGCTTAAATTCCCATTACGAGTCGTAATGGCTGCGGTGTGTCTATGTGTGTGTGTGTGTGTGTGTGAAGAAAAATGAAAACGCACTGCGCAGGATCATTAAGGCAGACAAACACCTACACACACACACACACCACACACACACACATACGGAGAGCAACAAACAATGAATGCGAAATGTCAGTCAGCAAAAGATACGCAGCCTGGAAATTTATACAAAAGAAGCTGTCCAAAAGCGACAACAACAACAACAGCAACGGGAAGAAAAATGGTGGCCACGCACACACAACAACAACAGCAGCAACACGAACAACAACTGCTACAGCTACAGCTACAGCTTTAGCTACAGCTACATGACTGACTATATAGGGTAGCTTTGTGCGCAAGCGAGACAGCTGAGGCAGCGCGCACTAGTGCGACAGAGAGGCGGGCAGAAAAAAGCGCACATGCTACACAGAAGACAAAAAAAAGTTAAGGCAAAGGCTGAGGCTGAGGCTGAGGCTTCAAGCTGCGCTGAAGGCCGATCCAAGCAAAGGTTGTGCTGAAGAAGGGGAGAGAGAGAGAGAGCAGAGCAGAGCACAGCACATGGAAGTAAATGCTGGCGTCTGAAGTGCTTCAAGCATGAAAGCAACAAATACAAATACAAGCAAACGCGAAAACCAGGCGAAAAAAGCGCAGGCCAAAAAAAAAAAAAAATGAATAAAAATAAATACAGAAGAAAGAAGAAAGACAGCAACAACAACAAAAGGCACAGCGAACGGGCAACGGCAGCAACTTGTCTGCTCCGCCTTTATAAATAATTCATGTGCAGAGGCTGCGAGTGCGAAAGATACGCAATATACAAACACACGCACACGCATACAAGTGCACACACATAAACAGTTGCTACGCAGCTACGTTTAAAGACACAAAGAGGAAGCAGCCACAGAGCTTCGTGTGTGTCGTTCGCGCTCGCTCTATGCGAGCTGTGTGTGTGTGTGCGCGAAACATTTAAAACGTGCTAAACGCGCGTCAAAGTTTTTCTTAATTTTTCAACAAGCAAAAAGTTTTTCCTGTTGCAAAAGTTTCTTTTTTTTCGCTGAGTTGCCAAGGATTACAGCATACACATGCATACATACTATATATGTATGTACATACAGTACGTAGGGTGGCAACGCTGGTACTCGTACATAATGTGGCAATGATTGCATTGATTTTTTCTTCTATTTCTTTTTTTTTCCTGACTGTTTTTGGCACCCAAACCTTTGGCGGCGCAAACTTTTGGCTCGAACTTTTGGTCCAACTTAAATACTTGAAAATTGTGTGCAGATTTATGAATTTTTCAAATGTTTCTCCGACAAAAAGTTTTATTTTGGGGCGGCACACTCGCAGACAAGCTGGCAAGCGAGAGGCCAGCTTTATTTGATAACAATTTGTTAATTAGCGCCATCTTTGTTTTGCGACTTACTTATTTTTGTTTACAACATTGCGAAGCGCATAATTGGCTAAAAGTGCAGCGCCAGCTTCATGTAAAACACATCAGCAGATTAAATAAACTGAAAAGTGATTTACCGACGCTGCCAACTGCCGACGGCAAAAGCGAAAAAGGCATTGAAATTGCTGTATTTAAAGTTAATTCAATTGAGCGCTGTAAGTTTACAGTGTGGCTGCAACTAACAGATGAAACTGCTGTTAAGTGAACGTTGCTTGCAGCTTTGGCTTTCTTCTTTGAGTGTCATAGCAGTCAGCTATTGTCTTCCATTCGAATTGCATTGAAATTGCATTTAAATTTTGTATTAATTTGAATTGTTTGCCTCTTTTTGATCTTACAGAAAAACAACGCTTGTCACATTGCGTCGGCTGCGGCGGCCAGATACACGATCAGTATATATTGCGCGTCGCACCGGACCTGGAATGGCATGCGGCGTGCTTAAAGTGCCAGGAGTGCAGGCAATTCCTGGACGAGAGCTGTACGTGTTTTGTTCGCGATGGCAAAACCTATTGCAAGCGTGATTATGTTAGGTAAGTTGACTGACTGATCAATGGGAAATACTCGATGTAATATGAATTACTTATCTAGTACAATTTGTAAGAGAATGTCCATAAATAGTATAGAGTATACTATAAAGTCTATACTAGTCTGATCTATGCAGTTCAATCCGATCCAAAAATATCCATATAAGGAGTCATATACCTCCCATAAAACAAGTTTTTAAGGAATGCAGTTTTCACCTGCATCAACTCAACAAGTGAACTCTTAACCAATCTCCAAAACCATTTGACTTTGGCTAATTGTGAAAATTAGTTAGCTGACAGTTGAGATTATCCGCTGATACCCTGTAAATTGGGGTGCTGTCACATGGCCCACTCGTTGGCCGGGCAGCAATTGTAGCAGCTCGACACTTGTTAGCCATGTTAATTAGATGAAGCTTGCCAACTGGAATCTTGTTTTGGGGCTAGCAGCTCGCTAACTGCGACTAGCTCACAGATTTCATCATCATCATCGTCATCGTCATCAATAGCAGCAGCAGCAGCAGCAGCAGCAGCAGCAGCTCTTGAGCTGAGGGGGAGGCTGGAGTCTGCCAACTATTTGCCATGCAAATCTTTGAATAATTGATTAGCACGTGCAAAGCTATAAATTAACACCTGACTTGCACAAATGATTGATGTTCGAGGCGGCGACGGCCACAAAAGACGGCGCTGCGTTTACTTTACTCTTTATTCGCTTATTTATTTAACTCTTCTTCTTCTTGCTTGCTTTTTTTTTCATTTTGATTCTGAATACCCTAAGATCATAAAATGTAAAATGACTAAAGCTGAGACAGTAGCTGCGAATATGTTGAGATTATGGCTGCAGATAGCAGATCTATGAAGAGGAATATATAACTATGCTTGTAGGACATATATAGTATATAGTATAGTATAGCTGTAGTATATAGTATATATAATATATAGTAATAGGATCTACTTCTATACGCTTTACATATCTCTGTTAAATTACATACTAATTAACAGAAACATGTTAGGCTGAGACTGAGCTGGCACAGCTGAGATTTTACGGGGTATCTGTGAGTCGAGCTTACACTTCATTTTGCGCTTGTTTGTTATTTATTTTCATTTGATTTAACATTTATTTGTCTGTTGAAAAGCCATAAAGAAGCATTTTTGGTGGGCGCACTTGAACGCCCCCAAGGCTATTTACACACACATCACATTTTTCACGTTTATCTCAAATCATGAGACGCCAACCAAACTCATCATCTTCTTCCTCTTCTTCTGCTGGTCTCATTTCACAGGTTATTTGGTACAAAATGTGATAAATGCGGTAACTCCTTTAGCAAAAATGATTTTGTGATGCGAGCCAAGACGAAAATCTTTCACATCGAGTGTTTTCGTTGCTCCGCGTGCGCTCGACAATTGCTGCCAGGTGAGTTGACTCTCTCCCTCTCCCACTCTCCCTCCCACTCTTTATCTGTATTTACTTAATCATAATAATATTGCTTTTGTTTACGTTACTCGTTCATCAGGCGATGAGTTCGCGTTACGCGACGCGGGCGCCCTCTACTGCAAGGAGGATCACGACGTCCTGGAGAAGTCCTCGCAGAGCAGCCTCACGTCCTCGTCCGTGGAGAGCAACAACAACATTAGCAGTAGTAACAACAACAATACAAACCTTAGCAATAATAACCATTCCAGCGAACTGGGCTCAATGTCGGGTAAGCGCCTCAATCTGTTCTAATTGACTTTCGTCTTTGATTGTCTCTATGAATGGACTATGGAATGGGTCAAAGGAGTTGCTCTTACTGGCAGCGTAGAGCCTAGAGCTCCCCTATAGCCTAGAGTTTAGAGTATTTACCATTTACCTTACCTACTTACTTTCAATTTCTCTTACTCTTTCTCTCTTTTTCTCTCACTTGATCGGTATTCCTTTTCTCTACTTCGCCCTCTCTGTCTCTAACTGTTTTTGCCATCTCTCTTTTCTCAATCTATTGCCTTCTGTCTCCCAAGAGAAGAAATAACTTATTCGTTCCCTCTCTGATTATGTTCCTGTATTTACTTTTCGCTCCCTTTTGTGACCCACTTATTGAGGACTTATCTTATATAAATAACTTTCAATTCTCTCCACTTACCCAATTATGACAATTGCAAAATGCAGTTTTGTTTTACACCTGGGACACCTGAAACACCTGGGCTGGCGGCCAACTCAATTAGCCCGAATTGCAATAGACTAAATGATTTTTTCGCGTAGTGCGCGAATGCGTTTATCGACTGCTCCACTTATTCGCATAGATTGAAAGCTCTAGCCCAATTAGGCTAAATAGTGGTGTGGGAGAGCGAGAGAGATAGACAGAGAGAGAGGGAGATGGGCTCGATTGAGTGGGTCGGCAAGCACAAAGGTTTGTTTTATTCTTAGAAAGACAGCGTTACATCCTTGTAACGCGATAAAGTGTCAATAGAAATCGGCAAACGTCAAACAATGTTCGACAATTGTCAAACCATATCGTCAACATAATCTTTCATTGTTTAAACTGAAAGAAGGGGGAAGAGAGAGGCCCAGAGAGGCACAGAGTGAGTGGGAGGGGGGTAGAGCGAGAGAGTGGGAGACTAGACCTTATCAACATGCGGCGGTGTTGTCAAAGTCTAGGCAAGCTCGTGTGCGGGCTAAACAGAAAGACACAGATAGATAGAGGGAGGGAGAGAGAGAGTGTGTCAGAGTGAGACAGAGCCAGATCGTCTCTAATAGTTGGGGGAATTCGCGAATGAAGCTTGGCTTGACTCGACTCGACTTGGCTTGGCTGCTGCGACAAACAAAGTCTTCAGCTTGCATTCAAGCATTCAGGCAGGCAAACAGAGTCGCTCCCTCTCTCTGTCTGTCTCTCTCCCTCTGCGCCACCTGCTACATCTTTGATTCAGCGTCCATTCATAGTTCCACTCGTTGTATTTGCGCTCAACTCGAATAAGGCACGCAGCAGCTTCAAGTGTTTGCCATATGTCGGCGCTTTGATCTCTGCTCGCAGTCACAGTCACAGTTCGCAGTCGCAGTCGCAGTCACAGTCACAGTCACAGTCGGTGGCCGCTTTAATTTGTATAAAAGTATTTTTCTTTTTGCCAAAAACTTTTTTGCTGTTTGTCTTCAATTTGTTTTGTTTTTCGCTTCAAACGAAACGCCGCTGATCGATTGTAGCGCTCGGCTCATTCATCGATGCGATCGTTATCGAAATTAGATAACGATAACAACTTGTTTGGCTGTTGTGAAACACGACTTAATTACGAACCACGCACCAAGACCAAGAACTCATCTCCCTCTGCCTTCTGCCCTCTGTCTCTACCCCTGCCTCTACCCCTGCCTCTACCCCTGCGTCTACCCCTGCCTCTACCTCTACCTCTGCCTCTATCTCTGCTCGTGCCATGGACATCTTTTTGGCCCGTACACAGCCTCCTCTTTGATCTTGAGCGGAGAGAGGGGCGCACGAGCAGTTTGACTCAGGGTCGCCAACTGCTGCTATTTTTGGCCGTTTCTTGCGGTCTATTGGAATTCGTCTCTCTCTTTTCTTCGTGGCCGTGCAATTTATCAACGCGTAGTTCAAAGCGATTGCAAAAATAGCAAAATGATTGCGAATTGACAAACGATATGGGTGAAACACATCTCCTCAGAGATCATTTCAAGATAAGAGACCTTTCTGTAGTATCTACATAAATGTAGGTCGTACATTGGTTTGTAATAGGAGACTAATTCAGCGTCAGACTAATAGGGCAGGGAAACAAGGGAGAGTGGTGCATGACTAGAATATACCCTGAGAGTGATATTTCTATGTCTACTCAGTTAAATAAACTGTTTAGCGATTTTTGAAGGCTTCGGCCATGCCTCCTGCTGCCTGTAACAAAATCGAACATTTTCGTCAATGCTCCTTGCCTTGCCTTGACTCACATCAGATATAACACAGCTCTCGACACATAAACACCTAAAATAATTTAATTTTTTTTTTTAAATATAGTAAAATACAACACAGAACTCTTCTTTTTCGTATTCCAGATTCTGGCAGCGAATCGGGCTCCCACAAAAGTATTAGGGATAAACGTCCATCGGGTCCCTCGGACGGGAAGCCCACGCGAGTGCGAACAGTGCTCAACGAGAAGCAGCTGCATACCTTGAGGTGAGCATGCGCCCAGCTAGCCCAGCTAGCCCCGCCCACCAATACTAAATCTCGAATCACTCAATCTTTTGTAGAACCTGCTACAATGCTAATCCGCGACCTGATGCGCTAATGAAGGAGCAGCTGGTTGAGATGACGGGCTTGTCGCCTCGTGTCATTCGCGTCTGGTTCCAGAACAAACGCTGCAAGGACAAGAAGAAGACTATTCAAATGAAGTTGCAAATGCAACAGGAGAAGGTAACGCGCTCTCCCCTCTTTCACTCTCTCTCTCTCTCTCTCTGTGGACATTTTTCACATGTGACTTTGCTTTACCTTGCAGGAGGGTCGCAAGCTGGGCTACGGCGCCATGCAGGGCATTCCCATGATTGCCAGCTCACCCGTGCGACACGACTCACCGCTGAATCTGCAGGGACTCGATGTGCAGACATATCAACCGCCATGGAAAGCCTTAAGCGACTTTGCCCTGCACGCCGATCTGGACAGCAACGGGGCCATCAATACGCACACGCCCGCATTTCAGCAGCTCGTCAACCAGGTGAGCAAAGAGCCATGAGAGTGGCCAGCTATTGCAGCTGATTGTGAGGCTGAACTAGTTATGAACAAATAGGGAACTAGTTCTTCCGAGAAAAGACTATTCTATTATATTTAATCTCTTCTCTCTCCCTCTCTCTCTCTCTCCCTCTCCTGTAGATGCACGGCTACGATTTGAATGGAATGCCCGTGCTGCCGCCACATCCGCCTCAGGGACCGCACCCCCCGCCGCCGGGCCAGCAAATGAACGGGCCGCCCGGCGGGAGCAGCCTGGACTCGGGCATCACGTCGCACCACCATCCGGACAGCACCGATTCGTATGTGACGTACCTGGAGAGCGATGACAGTATGCAAGGCAGTCCATAGACAAAACGTACCGAATCTAATCTCAGCTTCTTTTGTTGCTCCAGAATCCAAGCTGGCGCTGACGCCATCCTCCTCGTCATCGGCATCGGCGGCCACATCGATCTCATCGCCGCCGTCGTCCGCAGTGGTGGGTGGGGCTGGTGCGAATCTTGTGGGCGTGGGCGTGGGCGTGGGCATAGGTGTGGGCATGGGCGTGGGCATGGCCGAGGGCGGCAATCCGTCGGCCACGGAGCAGCTGATGCAAATGCTACAGAAAGTTACCGGCTCGCCGGCATCAGTTCTCTGAGCTTGGGAGCGTGGCGGCTGCGATGGCGAGGTTGAGGATGCAAGATCAAATGCAGTTGCTGCTGCTGCTGCTGCTGCTGTCAAACAGCGCAAACAGCGCAAACAGCTCGCGGGCTTGTGCAATGTGGCTGATGAAGCCGTTGCGCCTCGTCTCAGTTTTTGATTCGGTGCCAAAAACTAGTCTCTGGGCCAATTGCCTGGCATTCGGAAGTGGGTCTCCAGGCTCCCTCCCTCCTCTATATCTCCATCTCCTACTCCTTATTCTTCTGTCGTTTCCGATATCTCCATTCCTATTGCTTAACACTCTAACACTACCTCTCACACTTTACCCCTGTACGGCTGCAGGTTTCGGTACACAGAAAAAAGAAAAAACGAAAATACGGAGACGATTTCAAGTTTCAACTTTCATTTCATCGTTTTCTTTGTTATGTAATATACGTAATATTTTTGTTGTTCTTTGAATTAATAATAACGCAAAAAAATAAAAAAAAATAAAAAAATGAAATATATGAAAAAAAAAAAAAAAAAGAAATGCTCATACACTTGAAAAGTTTTAACAATAATTTCGCATTAAAAAACAAGCTCGTCAAGTAGGGAATTTCATTAAACACACACCACAAAAATTGTAAATAATTTTTTATATATACATACACATATATTTTCATTAAAAATGCAAAAAACAATACAAAAACAAAATCGAAATTCATATGCGTACATTAAAAGCCCAAAATGGAAATGCAAAACGAGAAATTGACTATAAAAATGAACACAAAACAAAACAAGAACCTCGTGTGTATTATATGAGTATATATAAACTGCAAAGTAAACTAAACTATAAAGAATTCAAAAACAAATCGCACTTGGCCAGTTGTAAATCGAATTAACAAAAAACAAACGCTACGTTAAGTTCATTAAATTGTATTAAATGAAAATGAAAATCGAAGGAAGAAATATGATGGAAACGTATGTAAGTGAGAAAACTGTAACTAAATCTAGACTTATTTGTTAGTTTATATAATATATATATACACACATATATATATTTCCATTAATACACAAGAAACGAATGCAAACTGTAAGGCAGCGAACGTACCAAGGATGTTTAATACATTGTTTCGTGAAACAACTAATGTATTTTCAATAATATTTAAATAATATTAATAATAAACAGAGCATAAGTAATTTTAGTAACTATAGAAAATGTTTAAATGAAATTACAAACGAAAATAAATAACAAAAATCAGCATAAATTTAATTGTGGTATTTTTTGGGATTTTACATTTTAAATTACGCGCCCCTATTGCTCTGTTAAGGAAAAAGTTGTTTTGTCATTTCAAATTGAAGACTTCGCGCGCCTATTTGACTGTTAAGACAGTATGGTATTTTAATTGCTTGGCAGCACTGCCGAAGCGCAACCAACTTCAAGTGTATTCTCAGCTCATGTGCGCTGATTTTTGCGTGCAGCCAACTTCAAGTTAGCAGAGTATTGCGCACAGCCAACTTCACGCGGGCAGCACGTAAATAAGCTGGGAGGCTGTTTCTTATTCTGTTTTGAAATAATACAGTAAATAGTAAATAGTCATAGCAATGTCTATCGCTAAGCGTGTGCAGGTTTGTATTGATGTAATGCGGGGCTTGCACATTATAATCGAGCGTATTGTTCACAGCAATGGGCAACATTTGCGCGTACCTGGCACATTTACGATTGCACCTGGCAAAATCCTTTCGAGTCCGCTCAGCTGGTTAAAACACATTTGATGGGCCTGCATAAGCCCATTTACCATCCAATGAGTAAGTATAATGCAGCACTGATTTGATTTAATATAGTTTTAAGTGAAAACGTGTGAAAAATCAAACCGCGAATTTCTGTGCGCTTCGTTACGTCACAAGCGCCTGCATTATTATTGTTGTTGTTGTGAAACATTTGCCGGCTGAACGAAGAATTGAATGAAGAATTGTGAATCCCGTGGTCAGTTCTAGGTTAGCTTTATACTAGTATGCTCCAAACCAAACTTAATCGACATTGTTCTTGTAGATGACTGCGGCGACCATGTGGTGCTGATCAATACAAAAGAAATAGCGCTGCCCGGCGATGAGTGGGTGAAGCGTGTCTATTTCCACCACACCGGCTATCCAGGTGGTGCGTCCTGGACGTTGGCTTGGCAGCTGCACGAGAAGGATCCAACGATGGTCATGAAAAAGGCTGTTTACAATTCCATGAGGGGCAACCTGCAGCGCAGGCACACAATGCAGCGATTGCATCTGTTCGCTGATGACCAGGTGCCGGAGGAGATTCTCACGAATGTGACAAACCAAATACGCACACCTCGCACTGTGCCCCAGCGATTGGATCATATTGATAAGGAAACGCTGGAGAATTTCCCTGCCATTGTGGATTATCCCAAGGACTATGTGTTGCGATAAGACGAATACTAAGGGTATTGTTAAGCAAAATATAATATTGTTATTTACAAAATTAAGCGTTGGCTTTTATTGTCTGGCCAAAGCAGATAGGTCATAATTTGCTTGAAGAATAAAACTGGTTTTTCATATATTTTATATGTCTGCCCAATTTGAATAGCAACGAAATATATTTAAGCATATCGATACTTTTGATATCGATAGCTTTTCCGCAGCCCTGGCTTGTTTTTTATTTTCGTCTGCCGGCAGACAGCAGTGAATTGCATTAATACTCAATTTTTAAGCAACACCCACTCAATTTTTAACTGGTGTGATCATCAATAATTGCGTTTTAAGACATTCCGCAAGCGCAACAGCTGGTGAGAGTTGAATCAAATCGCGCTGTGCCATACCTTTCGAAAACTTGCTTAAGGCTTACCATTTTATCTTTCTCTCTCATTTTCCGTTGTTTTGCTTGCAGTCACCACACGAACCTTGTGCACGACACATCTGCAGAAAGAGTCTCAGCATTCGCAGCTTTTGCCCATTTATCAGGTGAGAAAACGTAATATGGGTCGTTTGAGCAGCGTCGATCCCAGCTCCTACTCCGAGCCAGAAAAAATAACCACCGAGCACACCGCTATCCACTGGAATGTGGATTTCGAGACAACGAAGCTGCGCGGCAGTGTTCTGCACAAATTCAAAGTGCTGACCAGCAACCTGGAGAGCATTGTAAGTAAATTGGCAGTCAAACTTTATAGTGTAACTAATTGGATATTGGTTTAACTAGCTTCTGGATGTGCGTGACATTGAGGTGAAGAATGCCACGTTGCTTGCTGGTGGGTCGGAGCAGCCTATCAATTACTTCATCAGCGATCCCGTGCCTGATGTGGGCCAGAAACTTACACTGGAGTTGCCAGCCGGCACAGCGAAGGGCAGGTAGGGGAGCACTCGATAAGCCCGCTAGCGAGCTAATCTATATGGCACCTGTAAATAATGCCACTTATAATCATACATATCTGTATCGCACAGTCTTAACGTACGTATTGATTACGAGACGGCTAGCAACGCCAGTGGGCTGCAGTGGCTGAACCCGAACCAGACCTTGGGCAAGCAGCATCCGTACATGTTCTCGCAATGCCAGGCTATACACGCTCGCTCCGTGATGCCCTGCCAGGACACACCGGCTGTGAAGTTCACCTACGATGCCGTCGTGGAGCACCCCAAGGAGTTGACCGCGCTGATGAGTGCTCTGATCGATAAGAACGAGCCGGGAAAGACGTACTTTAAACAGGAAGTGCCCATACCAGCGTATCTGGTTGCCATCGCCATTGGCAAACTTGTGTCCCGCCGCTTGGGCGAGAACTCGAACGTGTGGGCCGAGGAGGCTATCGTTGATGCCTGCGCCGAGGAGTTCTCGGAAACATCTACTATGCTGAAGACCGCCTCCGATTTGTGTGGACCCTACGTGTGGAAGCAGTACGATTTGCTTGTGATGCCGCCCTCATTTCCATTTGGTGGCATGGAGAACCCTTGCTTGACCTTCGTCACGCCCACTCTGCTAGCGGGCGATAAGTCTTTGGCTAATGTGGTTGCCCACGAGATCGCACACAGCTGGACGGGGAATCTTGTGACCAACAAGAACTTTGAGCATTTCTGGCTAAACGAGGGCTTCACTGTCTTCGTCGAGTCCAAGATTGTGGGTCGCATGCAGGGCGCCAAGGAGCTGGACTTCCGCATGCTGAGCAACCTCACCGAGCTGCAGGAGTGTGTAAGTAACTTCTACTATCTATATTTTATTTATTATGAACCATGATTTCTGTTCTGCAGCTACGCACTCAATTGGCTGGCACACCGGAGCTTACACGACTCGTGGTTGATTTGAGCAACTGTGGACCGGATGATGCATTCTCGTCTGTACCTTACATCAAGGGCTCGACATTCCTGCGCTATTTGGAGGATTTGTTGGGCGGTCCCACTGTCTTTGAGCCCTTCCTGCGCGACTATCTGAAAAAGTTTGCGTACAAGTCGATTGTCACGGATGATTTTAAGGGCGCCTTGTACGACTATTTCAAGGATACGGACAAGAAGGATAAACTAGGTCTTGTGGACTGGGAATTGTGGCTGAAGTGCGAGGGAATGCCACCCATTATACCGAAGTATGTGGGCTGAATTTTATGACAGAATTGAAATATTTAGTATTAAATATTGTTTTCAGATTCGATGAGTCCCTTGCAAATGTGACCAAGAACCTTGCCAGCCAGTGGAGCACAAAGACTGTGGATGAACTGGCCAAGAGCACGGACATTAACCAGCCCATTTCGATACACCAGTTGATTGAGTTCCTGGGCAAACTGATTGAGTGCAAGGACATTGTGGAGCTAAACGAACGCAAAATCGAGCTACTGGAAAACACGTACAATCTCAAGAAGTCGAAGAATGCCGAAGTGCGCTTCCGCCTCAATCGCTTGATCATACGTGCTCGCCTTATCCAGCGCCTGGACGAGATTATCGAGTTTGCCAATTCGAACTTCCGCATGAAGTTCTGCCGCCCCATTTATCGGGACTTGGCCGCGTGGCCCGAGGCCAAGCCGCGGGCAGTGGACAACTTCCTCAATGTCAAGGACCAAATGATGGCCGTCTGCTCGCACACCATCGAAAAGGATCTGGGCCTGAAGTAAACCCAAATTGCATTTAATAAAGTTCAACTTGAAGCTGTTTTCGAAAAACAATGAAAAAGACTACAAAATTAACAAAAAATTTCAGTATATATTATTCTCTGGCTTTTCTTGAATGATTGTTTTTATTAAAAAATAAGCAAAACTACGTTTATAACAAGTTGATTTTCCATTCCATGCTCATCGTATGCGACTCTTTTAAATGTACTTTGTCATCTCTCAAATTGAATTTTTTGCATTCCGAATTTGTCGTAAAATTTTGTGTATCCTTATTTTGTTTTTCAACTATTTTTCGTGCAATTGGCCCAAAGCATTGCCAATTTTTTGTGTTCCTCACATTCAAATTAGGGATATTTCTCTCAATTTTTGTAATTCGTTTCGACTAACATTAAATTTTGTACAACTAACCAAATGTTGCTCAAGTTTTCGGGTCCTATGCGACAATTATACTTTGAATGCCTTTTAACTTAGTTATATTCTTCTGTTATATATTTTGTTTATCATTTTCTTGTTCATCTTGATTTAAATTCTTTAAAGTTCTGCTCGTAAATACACACACACACACAGATATTAAATTTATTATTGTTTTTGCTTGCATTTTGTTTTTCAACTTTACGAGTTTTGCTTTTACTTTTGTTTAAACTAATCAACAATTTGTTTTTTATTTTCTTTGTTTTCTTCTCTCTTTTGTTTTGTTTGTTTTACATTGACCAAAATGCAACCTCAACATTATTGTTGTGGACAAAGTGTTTGTTATATAAATTTGTTGTTGCTCTTGTCGTTGAGGAATAAAAACTATCACGCACTAGAATTATCATTGGAACGGGATGTGGATGGACCGGCACCCAGATCATCTCCCACAACGAACGTGGGACTCTGGCGGGACGTGGACGTGGCAACCGGCTGGTAGTGATAGCCCTCGCGATAACGCTGATTCGGTTTTATCCGTGCGGTTTGTGTGTGACCCAATGTCGGACGCTGATTAAGCTCATTGGGTCGTTTGGCTGCAATCGAGAGAAGGCGAGACGAGAGTGGACTGGTTAGTTAGTAAATAAACTCGATAGCTTATACATCAAATTTCAATAGATTTAGAATCTATATTCTATTTATAAAGCTTTAGCAAATACTCATACTTGAAATGATTTCAAATCAAATCACGCCCACCACAGGATACGCAAGCTCTTCTTGCAAAAAAAAAACTATATCATACTTTTAGGCTGTATATTATTTAAGCATAACCCAATAGATCTATTGGGCATTATTTGTAAAGCAAAAGCAATTAAGAGAATGTTCTCCTTAAGATAATTCTTTGGCGTATATAAATATTCTAGAGTTACTGTATCGATTTATCGATATCGATATCGGTTAGGGAGTCCTGCTGGGAGCTAACAGTTTAAAAATTTCAGCTCTTCGTGGTAGTCGTCACAGGGCTAGATCTAAGCATTCTGTGTATCATGTTAGCTAACTTAACATACTGTAATTGCTGTATCCAGCTTAACTAAATTCTGCAGAGCTAAATTCAGAATATATTTGAGGGACATGCTCTCAATTTCCTAGGGTAAGTCATCTTTTCTATGGTCTCATTTCTGTATATTTCGAATTTGTAGAATCCCAATATAGTATTTGGGGAGTACCTGCATATATATATATATATATATATATATATATATATATAGAGCTTAATCTATGTATTTAAATCTACTACATGATGAATCTACAATTGTTATAATAGATCTCTGTTAATGATCTACATGTTGAGTACATCATATCATATACATATCCTTCTTCCCAAAAGTTCTTATACGAATAGCATAAGGTACTATACTACCAGTACTTTAGCATAGCATAATATATTAGGGTTTAGCTGAAACTCTTGAATCTTATGACTAGATTTAATATACTATGAACACCTAGTCTTCTACTTGATTCAGACTAGCTCCTAGTTCCAGTCTGATGAATAGAAAGGAACTTTGGGTTTTTAAAGTTATTCCCATTAATATGAATATAAATTTTTGTGGTTTTAGATTTGCATTTCTATCAACTCCCAACTCAAGCACTTTGACGCTGCAACTCACCAGGTATATAAGGCTTTTGATTATAGGACGATTGTTGTTGTTGTTGGTTGTATGCATCGGGCGCCGTTGCATTGCCATTGGTCTGGCTGCTGTGCTGATAGGGCGTCAGATTGTGGCCAGTGTCTGGCTGTAGCTGGAGATCGGTGCTGTTGATGGGGCTCATCGGCGTCATTTCGCGATCTTCGATAAATAGTTCGCTGGCATCGTCGGGCACCTGGCGATACTGCGACCAGGGCCAGGAGGCGATGCCCGACAAGAGGAGCGCCTCCAAGGCGCAAATGTAGCCAATTAGCTAAGGGAAAGTAAACGGAAATTAAGATAAATCCATAATGGATCTTGGAGCTGCTTACGCCTGTGGCTAGTAACGTGTCCTTGGAGTGCTTGGATACCCAGGTGTACTCGGTCGCATAGAGCACCATGTGGACGAGCAGAGTGGAGCTCAAAATAAATATTAAACCAATGCTCAGGTACATCCACGTGTTCTAGAGGAAGGATAGAGAGATTAGCTCGTATGTAAAGAGAGAGAGAGAGAGCGAGGGGGAGAGAGGGACTACGCATACGCACCACCTTCGTCCAGTTGAATGGGAACATTAGCGCTATGTGCGATATATCGAGAAAGATCATGAGGCATGTGATGAGTAGCGAGAAGAGCGCACAGAAGACCATCAGCCTGAGGCGCCCGATGAGTGGCAGTAGAAAGAGGCCCACCTGTACGGTGCCCGCGGAGCACTCGCAGGCAAGGCAGACGGCCGAGGATAACTGCAGAGCAGAGCGCAGGATAATAAATAAACTGGTTAAGAACTGCCCAGATGATGATAGTCTCTGGCCATGGCCACGGCTTACCACCAGTAGTATGCGCACAATCCCTGTAGGCGTTTTCAAGTGTTGCGGATCACAGTGTAGGGCGACGCCCCATGGCAGCGGCGTTTGTTGTTGCTGTTTGTAGTTGGCGTGCGAGTCCCAGGAGGTGCACGTGCCCAGCGGCGATTCGAGTGAGAGCGAGAGCTCGCCGGCTCTGCTGCCAGCTATTTCAAAGTCCTGCTCATCGTCCAGCTGACAGCAGACCGGCTCCAGCTCCAGCTCACGTATCTCGTCCAGCAGCAGTTCTATCTCGTCCGTGCCATATAGATCAGATACAGACGGTATATAACGTTGGGGTTGTTGCATTGCCCGTTGCGGGATGTGTCCCACATCACCGTTGCGTGGCCTGGGCGTACAAAATTTGATGCCTGCGGCGCCGTTCTATCGCGTCCACGACTGGCTCGCCTCTGCTCAAACGTTTGCTTTATTAGTCCTATGCGTGGCCGTTGCCTGCGCCTGCAATGGAATGATAGTCGGTTAAGCATCGGCGATATTGATTATAGTAAGATTATAAAAGTTTCTTCCATTCATGCTACTCATGCGCCGTGTTGGCTATTCCAAGAGGATTGCGTACGAGAGAGGGCAAGCAGCTATATGAGGGACTGAAGTATCAATTATGAAAAGCTTGTTTGAGCACAATCAAGCCAAGAGCGTATTGTAGTACATCTCAAAATATATCTTATCAGAATATATATCAATCAACAAAAAATATTGTAGGCTAAGCGCATATTGTAATGCATCTCAATATACTTCCGATATCAATCAAGAACAAATAATGTATTGTATAATAAATATTATGAGTAATAGTTTGCTGAATATCCTGAAAAATATTCATTATTTCATATATCTGGCTTTAAAGCTGCATTCTTAAAGTGAGCATTCTAAAAATAATAACAACTTCATTATGTATTTTATTTTGATTTTTCAGTTGAGCAAAATCTTTAATTCATACAAACATTTACATTTCTATTATTTAGTATAATAATTTATTTGATTTAGCAGAGTTGTATATCAGTCATTCCATATTTAATGAATGTGGCCTTCGCAAAGCAAACATTTTATAGAGAAAACCTAATTTTATATATGCACATGTTTATTTAATTATATAAATAAATATATATGTAAATAATAACATTTGTAATTCATGAGGCTATCCATAAACTTTAGCCGTGCCAACATTTTCTCACTTGTCTCAACATGTCTGTCAGGCATTCCGATTCCATGCTGTTGCATGTTTAATTGGCAATTATAACAAATACTAGCATATTGCACATGGAAGGAAACTAATATGCTGGCATATTTAGCCCATTTGATGGTAGTTTGGCATTTGGCAGCACTGTTGCGTATGTAGCTGAGCTCCGCATGTTCGCTGAACGAAAACGATTTGCATTTAGAAATATTTCGCTGGAATTGAGTCATAGATATCATCAGTGAATACCATGAGCCACGCAAGAGCATTTAAGGGCCGACCTCAGCTCCGCAAAGCCACATTTGGTTTATTTGGATGTTGGCTGATTTTTATTGTGATACGAGCCGAGTTGTGTCAGCTGGCTCAGTTGGCTGCCAACTCGAAATGAAATCAAATTGAATTTCGACCTGGCCCCTGCGCGTATGCATGCTTTTTTTATGCCACACACCCAGGCAATTAACACAGAGGCAAACCAGATGTGTGGGTGTGATCTGATGTGCTGTGACGCCTGCATGAAAGCAACTCCATGGAGAATTTTTGGTATATTTCAGGCCCTGCCAGAAGCTGACTGCCTGGCTGGCCGCATTTCCTTGAGTTGTCATAATCAGGACACAAATGAAGGTAGCTTGTCATTGCTGTTGTTGCAGCACAAGGACTCGCTGCTGGCAGCGGGACAGCAAACAGTGGGCAGCTGCAGCTGGCTGGCCAGTCAACCTGCTGCTGCAGAGGATGCCACAGGCAGCTGCCTGCCCGACTGCCTGCTGCACATATGCGATACTGTGGCTGTTCGTGTGCCACTCTGTATGCGCGTGTGTGTGTGTGTGTGTGCGAGAGTCGACAGGCAATGTAACCATTTGTGCTCTCGTTCGTTGTTTGAACGTGAAGTTGTTGTCGCTGCTGTGGCGGCTGCTGCCACCGTTGTCCTTGCTCCAGTTTAAGCACCAGCCTCCGCCCCTCTTCTGCCCCCTCTGAGCAGCTCTCAGCTGCTCTGCCTGCTTATCTGTGCCCTGTTATCGCTGCAGATATGCAGTGACTGCATCAAGTGTCTAATGAGTGCGCGCTCGCCTTTCATCGCATCTTTCATCCCCATCATCATCCTCGCCATCTTCATCTTCATCTACAGACGTGCTCTATCTATTGAGGCAATGCGCTTATAGCATTAAGCTCTTCAGCCGTAGACAATGAAGCGCGCCCTTCAACTGCTCGCCTGCCTACCCCATCCGATGTCTGTGAGGCTTTTTTGCACAATTTGAAATCAATTATGCTCATCTGCATATAAACTGACTTGCTGGGCTCGGGGCAAGGGCTTCTGCCACTCTGATCCGCCTCATAGTTGGGCAAGTGGGGGCTGTGTCGCCTGCAGCGCCACCTAGCGGAAGTGCTTTGCATGCAAATTTATTGTCAATGCTTCATTCGCTTCGACTTCCACTTCGACTTCGACTTTGCTTCGCTTCGACTCTGGACACCAAATGGGCGGGGCTGCAACAGCAGTTGGGGCCACAGCTGGGGGTTGGGGGTTCATTTGAGGTGCCAACGCTGCTGCATTTCTTATTTATGAACGCGCATAGACAATGCTCGGCCTTTGTTTGAGCTTGTGCTCATATTACGAGTAGACCTCATATAACTTTTTCTACATATACATGTATGTATATAAGCATGCATGTATGTGTGTATATACATATGTATGTCTACTCCAGCCAGCCAGCCTTTGTCGCATTCAATGGACCGAAAGTTGCACCGTAAATAACTTTTAATAGAATTTCTAATGGGCTGCTATTTGGGCGTGGGGCCAAGCCACACACACACGCACACATAGACATAAATCTGATTTTTTTGTTGACTATATTTTAATATAGCAATAATATGTGGATATGCAATCAATCAAGATTTTAGTTCAGCTTTGATGTATTTTAATATATATTTAATTTATTTGGGGTCATTAGATATGTGCATATGTGAAAATCTATTAGCATTTAAGCTTAGTCTTCCTTAGACAATTTCTCCTGCATTGTTTTATGATTTTTGTATGTGACATTTCGGCTTAGTTTTTTGTAGATGAGCTCCTTGACACTTAAGCTGGCTTAATTTTGACGTCAAAGCTCAGCTGAGCTGATGTGAAAACAAAGTACTTTTTGTCACAAGAGATATATAGCGTATATACTTATATAGCCCTCTTGTTGTCAGCAGTAAATTATAATAATAATAACATTAAAAATAGAAAAGAATTAAAAATCAAATAATGATTCACACATAAATTTCAAAGATTCCAAATTGAATAGCAATGATAGCCTTTGGCCTTTGCTTAATACGTATGCATATGCTTTCCTTGAATAGAAGAGCCCTATAGATTTATCTTTTATACTATTCATTTAATTTACTATTTCTCTTTCAGTATATAAATATTCGAAAAGCAGTCTCCGAGTTGAGCCCTACAGCAATGCTTAAATCTCGTTCGCATTTTTAGCTCTTTGCCATTTATACAATGTTTATTGAATGAAACTTTATTATTTATAGTAAATCTATTCAAATTGGTTGGCGATAACAACGTTATCCTTTATGATAATACCAATGAGCCGAGTTGACCTGTGGCAACTGCTGCCACTTATCACCCATACGCCGCGTGTGCGATGAGGCAGCATCAAATGCTGTGGAGCAGCGCGATTTATGCATTCAGTCGGCGACTCTGAAACCTCGAATTGCGTATAAATTTTAGCTGAAATATGGCCATTTCTGTCTACTATGAACAGTAAACTTTCGACTTGTGGACGGTGCTGGACAGTGTGTGGCCTGGCCTGTGTAATGCCGTGCAGACAACAAGACTCTCGGCCCAAATTCTCAATGGCGACGCTCAATGCGGAAGATACATACATATATACACACATTTATATGTATGTGTGTGTGTGTGTAGAGGTCGCCGGACGGCGGGCTGATCGGTAGGGGTAGGGGATAAGACGGCTTAGCTAGCAGTTGCTGTCGGATTGGCGCTCTGCCTGCCTTATTATGCCGCCGCGTCGCCCTAGCCCGCAGCCCCCTACCCGTTGCGGAATTATCGATTACGAATGAATATTTCATTAGCAGACGTGCAGCACAGACAGAAGCAGTAGGAGCAGCAGCAGCAGCAGGCCGGGCCATTGGGGCACCGTCAGCGTCTACGTTGCTAACGCTTATGCTGACTTCATTGGCTTCCGTTTCCGTAGCCGTTAAGGATTCCGGGTCGCGTCGTTTGCGGCGTTCAATTAAAATGCAGCGTACTTTCCAGCTGCCAACTCTTCTCGCCTAAAACATAATGCATAATGATTTTTTCGTTTCTTCATTTCAGACTTTACACAATTATTCCCACTGGGTAATTAATGCAGCGCAGCAGCGTAGGAGGAGCAGCTACCAAATGGGTCTCGAGACGACTCGACTTGAGGAGGTAGAAGTGGAGCTTAAGTGTATTCCATTGAGGTTAATAGAAGGCTTCATTGGCAGCATTAAAAGTAGCCTCTTCATTTTTAATGGAAATTAGTTTTTACTGCACTTTGTGGAATTCACATTAAGCATGTAAAATGCAAAATAAAGCTTTTAAGTTGAAAACAAATATTTGTATTCTTCTTGACCATTACAGCAGAGTCGAGCAATGTAGACATACAATTAACATTTTGTACGTGTGCACACTTTATGTACAATATATACTAATATATGTATGTCTTTTATATTTTTCAGCAATATTCCTGAATGCAGTCCAAGGAAGATCGTTACACTACTAAGCGTATCCAAGCCAATCTGACCAAAGCTAACACCATCTGGACAGCTGGGAAGTCTGACGCGCTTGCTTACAAAAATATGTTGGCTTACACGCCCATTCTCTAGTTAAGGCTTAAAGCGCTAAATGCGTTATAATCTAACACAATAAGTCCCAAAAAATGGAACAGCATATATTTATGTATAACTCTAATCATACTCTACTTTAATTATTGTAATACATGTCTAATTTAATACTTCAAAAATACCAAATAAAACATGCCAAATTAGAAATAAACATGGTCTTCTTATTTACGGGGGGAAACAAAAAATAGGAGTGGGAAAATGCTCGTTGAGCAGTTACTAAGAGTAAATAAACGCCACGTGATGCGTGTGAAATACCAGGCAATCAGCATTGAGTAATAGCAGTAGGAGAGAGCGAAAAATGCGAAGTGCTCATTAACAGTCCCAAACAGTGCGCTGTTATGCTACTATTGGGCTAACATAAAAATGTTAGTTAACATAAACTTAATAATTTGTTAAC